TTATTTAAATTAAGGCAAAATTAATTGGAATTTGATGTATTTTTAAGTATATTCTAAATATTTTTTGCAGCAATGAATGTTTTTCAATTTTGTTTTTTTTTTAAACAAGAACTCAGGATACTCGCGTCAATTTGTAAGCAATATGTGTAACGGAAATTATTGCATTTGCACTATTTTTTTAAGTCATGTGACCGAACATCATTATTTTGATTTGGGGATACATTGATAATGCTCGATGAATGCAGAACATCACGTGTGATACTCAAACAATGTTGTTAATTGTCTGGAGATGAGTTTTGAGCTCATTGCTTTACATCGCACCGGGGCCGTCCCACCAACCAATGCTTCATTTATATAGCATAAGATATACTTTTCCCGATCGTTTATTATTCAGTGTTTTGACCATTTATGGGCAAGTTTCTGTGTAAGTATATCAATATCATGAAGACAAACAACTATTTTAATATTTCGTATTAGCCAACATCTCAGGAGTTTTATGTTTAAATTACGTGTAATTTTGAGGAACGAGCTCGATATGGTCATTTCAAAAGTCTAAAAACATTCATAATGATTTGATCGATCAATCACCGACGTCGGGCTCTAGTGAATGGTGAGAATAAAAATTGCCCTCCCTGATGGATCAGGTGGTCACAATGAAAACATTCATCATTGTTTTGTTTTGTGAAATCATTATGCGTTCAATATTATTGTTAGCGTTTTGAATTTTGTAGAGTTTTTGTTGTCGTAGCTTTTCTAATTAGATTACTATTGTTCTGTGTACGATTTGAGGGATGAAATTATATAATATGTAAATTTTTCATTCTGCTTCCGAGTAGGCATAATGCCACCCAGAGGTAGTAAAAGTTATAATAGCATAGAAACATTTAGTTTGTTGAGTGCTCCGAAACTGTGTCTCTGGTTGCTTCGTTCACTTTGACCACTGAGGCAGTTGTGTCGTTGAAAGCAACCTTGAAATATTGCGCCAGTGTTTTTCTTATTCTTGGCATTTCAAGCTTATTGCTTATCACATATAAGCTCATTGCGTGCTCTCAACTTAGTGTTCTAGATGCACTTTCACAGTTTTTAATAGAGAGCTTTAGATGCCTGTACCATTTTTGCATTAGCATAAAGGGTGTACCGTTTCAAATTCGCACACACTCAAATTTCTCTAACTTTTGATCCGTTGGGTAAAATTAATTGAAATTTTGCGTAGACATTGTTTACACTTTGTGAGTTGATTTCATCAGGTGCGCAAAAGTCCACGGTGTCTGGTATCATCAAACGGTTCTAAGACCGTCTGACTGTTGATCGGAAGCGAAGATCCGGCAAAAAAAGCCGTCAGGTCAACGAGAACGATCACAAACGCTTGCACAGGAAAAAAAATCCTATTCCATTTTCATGAATAAAAAATCATGAAACCAAAAAACTTGCCATCCCATAACCATGATTCATGATTTCGTTATGGGAATTCATGATATCATAATGCAGCGGAATCATGACCGCTTCAGGCGTTACCTGGAAAACCGTGTACACCGCACTACATAGGTATCTGTTAGACGCCTTTTGCTTTCCATCTTATACAAGTACTGATACACCGAGGAAAAATAACGTAAGAATGCCATAAGAACCACTTATGGATTTTAGCCACAAGAAATCGATATGAATTTCATTGATTTGCCTTATGAAAAATAATGTCGACAAAAAAATAATTAAACGGAACATTCTGGAACCGAACCATGTACGTTGAGATTACGAGTCCTGTGTCTGGAACACTTGTCTGTCAACGCTTGGGAAAATGGAATGGCTAAGGCATATAAGAGCTACCTTATGTTAGACGAAAATATTTCATAAGTCGCGCTTATGAAATTCGTATGTGTCATTCATTAGTCGAGCCTTATGAAATTCTTAAGTCTATTTGCCTCAGTGTAGTCTAGTGGTCAAAGTATGGGTTTTATGATCATTAGGTTCTTGGTTCGAATCCAATCTGTTTTTTACATATTTTGGTTTAAGAGCTAAAAGTTAAATTCATGATTTTAACTCGGATGATTCATGATTTCGGGAATCTTGGGTACATTACGTAAATAAAGCTCATGATATCATGAATATTATTCATGGATTTTCATAACATGAAAATTCGCTATGTTCATGATATCATGAGTCATTTGTCTCATTCCGGATTTTTGATTTGTTCCCGTGTGGTTGGGGTCTTCTAATGGAAACTGAACGCCTCAGTTCGAGATGGGGCTTAAAAGTTGCTTGTGAGCAAGACTTTCGTGCAGAACCCCCCAAACACTTCGGAACTGCGCCCAATAGAAAAATACTGGGCTATTATGAAGAAGCACCTTCTAAAACGACCTAAAGTGGTAAAGAATTTAAAAGAAATGAAGAAAACATGGGTTAATATGCAAAAAACTGTCGATTCTGAGGTCGTGCAGAACCATTATTTTGGTGATAATCGGATAAAAACTCGAATTTTGAGAATTAATGTTGGGTGGCAAACATACTCTTGAATATAAAAACCATTAAATGATCCATAACAAATTTAAAACCGCTCCTTAAAAAACACCCAAATGATCCATAAAACCCCAGTGAAAATCCTTTAAAATATTTGAATGATCCATAAAAATATCAATATGATCCAAATTTTCAGTTAAATTTAGCAACACAATTTTAAAAATGTACCGCTAAATATCTACTGAATGAGCATTGAAATTGTAAGAATTACCCATAATTATATTGCAAATGATCCATTACTACTATGTTCCATTACTCACGTAGCTACTTAGATTTACTGACATACCCGAGCTTTTTAGTTAGAAGTGCGAAGCGAAGGGTAAGCGTCTAGAATTAGCTTCCAAAAAAAGCTTCTATAATAATCTTTTTAACACTCTGAGCACAATGCCTTTGGTCAAATGTGTAACGGCAAACTTGTAATGTTTGAAAAATCATAGCTCAGCTATTTATTGACAAATTTCATATCTATGGGCGCCATTTGAAACTAAACACTTTAAAGATTTATTCGGTATGAATATGTTTAAAATCTATTGATAAATTGCTGGGCAATGATTTTTCTAACATTACCAATATGCCGTTACACATTTTACCGGATGCATCGTGTTCGGAGTGTTAAGAAGCATCCTAGGGAATATTTTTTAGAAGCTTCTTTTAGATGTTTATTCAAGATGCTCTCCCATCACTCCGCGCTTCTGACAAAAAAAAACACGGGCAGAACAGTAAACCAGAATAGCTACGCAGCAATGCAGCAATTTTCCAAGGTTAATGGATCAAATAAAAAAAAAATAGTGTCCATACCATGAAAAATATATGTCTAAGTTATGGATCATGCCTATATTTTTAAGCGCGCAAGCTTGATTTTATATGGATCAGTTTAATTAGTTTAAGGTTCATTGCTGAATGTTTTATGGATCATTTGCAATATGTTTATGGGTAATTCGGGCAATTTCGATGCTCATTCTTTAGAAATTTAGCGGTACATTTTTACAATTGTGTTGCTAAATTTGACATAAAATGTGGATCATATTAATATTTTTTAAGGATCACTCACACTTTTTAAGAAATTTCCTGTGGTGTTTTATGGATCATTTTGATGTTTTTTAAAGAATGTTTTTCAATATTTTATGGATCGTTTTATCAATTCTTAAGTTGCATACTTAGGGCTGCCATTTTGTGTGTGCGGATTTCAAACGGTACACCCATTAATGGTATGGCAAGTACAATCATGCTCTATGTCCAGAGAAGTCGAGAAATTTCCCAAACCCGAAATTCCTTAACCGGACCGGGAATCGAACCCAACCACCTCCAACATGATCTTGCTTTTCAGCTGCACCTTTACCGACTGAGCTAAGCGAGTCTTCCAGTAGCACCAGTGTTACTTTTTTTTAATCCTGGCCCAATGTGCACGTAGGTAAGGGTCGTTAAAAGTATGAAAACGTTCCAAGATCTTAGCTTCCACCTTTCCATATTTTTTTCCTGTAACATAATCTGACAGCCCTGGGTTTGCCCTAACGGTTCTCAACATCTTCAAATGCAGCTTCCGATCCTTAAGGCCCAAACGCAATGTGGGCGGAAGCGGAACGGAAACGAAAAGTTTGACAGTTGTCACTAATGACATCAAGATGCCTAACCGAAGTCGATTTGGATCTAACTAGTTTTCAATCCGACAAGTAGGCTTATTCAGATCGGGCTTTTCCGCTGCCGTTGCCGTTCCGCTTCCGCCGTCATTGCGTTTGGGCCTTTAGTTCCACTATATCAATGTTTTTCTATCCGATACACCGTGAGGTTAACTTAACCTTTACGCTCTTGAACGATTGCTTCGGTAACGGATTTTTTTACTGCTTGAGCCACGGAGCTCCTTGTACGGCCTACATGATCCTGAGTTATATTCCATTACTTTTAAACTGTAAGGATTATAAGTTTGTATGCTTTGACTACAGTTGATATTTTTGCCATGTTAACTTTATATTATGTTCAAGTAAGTACTGTTTTGTAATGTAATGTAAATTTTAAGATTTTCCCCATCAGAATCATCAAAACGACAAAAAATCAGATGAATAATGATAATAAAACAATAAAACACTTAAAATGTATCTTATAGGCTTTGGTCAGGCATTTTTAGCTGTATCTATAAAAAAAAAAGTTTTAATATAGCAACATGGGAGACTTTTGATTCTATATATTTTTTTTTTCAAAACCTGGAGCGCACACGAATATTTTAAAATAAGATTTTCAAGGCCAGGAAATTGTAAAACACATGAACAAATTCAAGGATCCTGACTAAAAAAATCGTAAAAAAAACCTTGAGACGTCAACATTTTACAAGATAGCATGCACTCAAATGAGTTGAAATCCATACACCTCATGCCAAACGTGTACATTTCGTATGAGGTACATGAATTTCGATCCTGTACGGATTTCGGACCCGCACGTAAACATAATCAATGCTAAAATCAGTATTTTGATGTGATCAATGCGATACTTACATTTTTATTGGATTTAAATATTTGGGATGTTCCTTTGTGCCACGAAATGGTTGCTGCCGGTCTTGAACCGGAACTTTTGCACTCAATGTCGTATAGTTTGTCCGCCGACACAAATTTTTCCTTAACCATGATGTGCACTGCTACCGGTTTCACTATTAAACGAAACGAAGCAGGTCCAGAAGGATAGAAAAATAAATGCCTCACCATTCAGAAACGATCCACAGGGATCGGTAAAACACTTACGATTAACGTCCAGCACCACAACCTTGTTATTTGGGGGCGTTAGATTTGTGTTGCTCGCCACGCACATCAATCGGGCGTCCAGATGTTGCCGTCCAATGTTCGGATAGGAGAGATGATTGACTGTCGTGCCATCCGGCCGAGTCTCGTACGACTCGTCTATCACCATGTTGTCCAGGTACCACGTCACGTTTGGTCGGGGTCGACCTGAGAATCGCGAAAGTGAACAAAATCCATCAAATAGTTATACTAAACTTCCTGACCACACGAGGGATGCTTACCTCCTTTCACTTCACAAACCAACTGAATGTCACTGCCTTCGCTGTATGGTTCGACGGTGTTGGTCTTCTCCCGCCGCCTGGCGTCGTAGATAACGGGCCGATCCGGCGGAACTGGAAATAGAGCGAGTTGAAACGCTTGAATAACTTGTCTTTTATAACATGGAAAATGGTGTGTGCCGTCTATTACGCTAGTGGGAATTCTAAAAGCGCCAAAGGTTTATAATTGTATCCTATGTGCACTTTCGAGCGGTTGTCCCTCGTGAAGATAATTAAAGCACGATAGAAAACGCCCGCTTGTTAAACGTAGGACTGTGCAATCCATATACTACGTACACTGATTTTTGCGAGGTTTAGATCTACCATCCACTTACACCTAGGAACTCGTAAAACACCTCTTACCAAGACTATTCACGTCATTTATGGACGGTCCTAATATTCATCATGAGTGGTAGCATTACAACCTATATACATTCACATGTTTTCTATTCATACTGAATCGCATGAAACTCTTGAAACCAACAGCAATTACCACATGGAGGAGGAACTCAACATGAAAAATTGCAGTTAATTGTAGGAGGAACGACACATGCTACTCTATCCATACTCATTATGTCAGTCCTCTTGTCTAACTTGTCACATCCGATTTGCTGATGGTGCTACATTATAGACGGTTATACTAACAGAAGCATGGATGGAGGTAAAAATGAGAGCTTTTTTTAAGATTTTTATTAGTGGCTCGAACAGAATGTTGGTGTCTCTTTACACAATGCATTGTATTCGATCTGCAATTCGTTTCTGGAACTTGGAACTTTAAACCAAAGAATTTTAAGAAAATAAATTGATACCGACCGATAAAAATTTATAAAAAACACACTTATCTATTGAAATTCCGCCTGGTGTAGTAGTTAACACTCATGCCTATCACGCTGAAGATCAAAATCTTAAATCTCATTTTCAGACAATGGTAAACAATAATTATTTTTGGGTGGCCACTTAACCGGGAAAATCGAGAGAACCGGGTATTAATCGAGAATCGAAACCAACCGGGAAAACCCATGAAATAACTGGTAATATGATTTCAATTTCATTCTACTGTTGTACATCCCTCCCCTTGGCTAGTTTTTGCACCTTGTTGCTGGTGGGCGGGCTAATTTTCATGCTTTATAGTGGAGTGTTGGAGACGGTAGGTTTTTATGGCCGGCGTTGATTGCTCATGCCGCGATATAATGGCGCCATGGGCAGGCGATGGGGATTACTAAGCTTCCGCTTTCTGATGAACCACTGCATGAGAGAACCAAAGATCTAGACTAGCAGTGACAGTATCACACTAGTTAATCCTTTGTTTAAGAGCCGCGTTGTAGTACGCTTACTTATATGCACTGACGTTGGGTGCGATACTGGCGGATTTTTCCGCAAGTCACGCTTATTTTATTTATTTTTACACAGATAGATTTATTTGGGTTTGCAAGGGAATTATAGTATTGAAATATTTTAGAAAGTGCCCAACAGTCCTCCTTCTATTTGCGTGACAAACTTTCATTGTTGTTTTCATTGAAGACTCAGGGAGCAATGTTAAACATCATTTGTGTACATGGTATTGTAACTAATCTTATATGTGCTTCATTTTGATTTGGAATAAATGTTTGAACTATAGCTCGGGATTTCCACTTTGGTGTGCTTCTATTGTGACACACCCATACGTATTTTTGTGGTGCGACATAGTGGAAACGTGTGAGCGTAGTTGGACCATATATCCTTAAAATTTAAAAATCAGCTAGGAAACTAGATTTTTAGGATTTTAATGACTTGAAGGTGTCACCTGGGTCGAACCAAGATATAATAAATAGGTATAGGTCAAAGCCAAAAGTACTTGAAACACGTTTAGTTTTAGATTATAAGCACAAGTGCAGGTACTTAATAAAGCATGGGCTATGATTGCTTAGGTGAATTAGAGATTTCAATTATATTTTAAATTAGACTAATGAGATATCATAATTATCAAATAAACTTATAAAAGAAACTTCAGAAATTCTAATAAAATTAAATAGACTACCAAAAAATTAGGATGCCACTTAGGAGGCAACTGACCTTTAAAGTTGTAAAATAAATCTTCCTATTTAGTCTTGAGCTTTAATAAGAAAACGCAAGCAAACCAATAGCATTAAGCAGATTATCAAGGAGAGGAATAGTTTAGAAAATAAGTAAAATTAGAGGTATGTGACAAATAATAACTTTTAATCATTTGTAGGTATTGTTTTCTCCTGTGTTTAATATACTTGATTACTATATTATTCAATACGTGAAATCTCGGATATATAAAGCATTTGAGTTAACTTATTTCTTTTTGTTCAAGTATTTATATTTTTAAACAGCAGTCAATGTTAATCTATGAACTAAACCCTACGTGACTGTAAAATTGATCTTTCCTTATGTGGTATTGATGCATGTTTAAGTTTTCGCGGCTGTCAGATTCAACGCGCCTACGTCTACGGAGCTTATGCTGAAGTGATTCGGAATTCGGTAGAGCTTGCCAAAAGTTTTTTTAGCTTATGTTGTTTAGTATTTGTTCGGTACGGTCGCGAAATTTTGAAATGATTGATACGTGTGGTGAAATAAACATTTTGAAGCAAAGCTCAATAGTAAAATAAGAACAATATCTTAGTGATTATTAATCAACTTGCCAACATTTATTTAGGTGGCACTCTTTAATTTTTTTTTTCTTGCTTTTGTTGTTTTGCACGACGTTCGGAATTTGCGTGGTTTTCGTAACTTAAATAATTGAGAAACTGTACTGAAGACTTCTGTGTGTATGCATCATTATCACCTTTAAGGAAAAATGAAGTGTTTCACTCAGCAATTGAATATTCAAGTTTCATACAAAATATTTCTTCCCACAGCGACTGGGAGTACGAAGAAGTGCCAAAATATCATAAAACAAATTACGAAGAACCAAACGTAGACTATTGACAAAATATAATAAGTATTGAAGGAAATGTCGACACTGAAGTTGGCAGATTTCATTCAATTAGTCGTAACCTAATTTCAGAAACCGTACCAATAAAAAAAAGAAGGCGAACACAAAACAACAAACTGTCAGTGTGGTTCAATCCTCAACTAAAACATTTGAAGAACAAAAAGCACACAAATTATACAAAAAAGAAAGCAGTAGAACAAATTTACAACACTATCATAACATATGCAACCAACTCAACACAGCACATGAAGAATATAATCGTAAAGTCGAACATGAAGTCAAATCATGTCCTAAGAACTTTTTCAATTATGTAGAAACGAAATTGAAAAGTAATAATTTTTCGTCACGAATGGATTTTGATGAAAAAGTAGTTTTTTTTTATATAGTCACTTTAACACTCTTGGGTCCTTTGTGACTTGTCCGGGGGTAAGATTTGAACTCGTGACTTTGGCGTGAGAGGTATGGATGAAGGTGAAAATCCTTCTGAAATCTGCAATCTCTTTGCAAATTTCTTTCAGGAAGTAAAGGGTGTCCACGATGAAATTGCCACACACAAAATTGATTCGCAAAATTCGAGTTTTCATCTGATTGTCATCAAATTTTCAGGGATTGAGAAATAACTATTAAACTTCATTTTACCATTTTACTCGTATTTTATTTACAGTCCATACGCAAATGCCCGCACCTTGGCCTTAACCCCGGCCATAAGATTCTGCACAACCTGTGAATCAACCGTTTTTTGCATGTAAACCCATACTTTCTTCAGTTCCTCGACTGTCTTCACTACCTTAGGTCGTTTAAGAAGGTGCTGCTTCATAATCGCCCAGTACTTCTCGATGGGGCGGAGCTCCGGAGTGTTGGGAGGGTTGAACATTTTCGGCACGAAATTGACCTTATTGTCCGCATACCACTTCAGCACGTCCTTGGAGTAGTGGCATGAGGCCAAATCCGGCCAGAAGATTGTTGGGACGTTGTGGGCCTTCAGGAGAGGAAGCAGCCGCTTCTGGAGGCACTCTTTTATGTACACCTGTCCGTTCATCGTGTCCTGGGTCACGAAAGGTGCACTCCGCTTCCCGCACGTGCAGATGGCTTGCCAAACCAGGAATTTCTTCGCAAATTTGGACATCTTCTGAGTGCGGACATGCTCCGGAACGCCGAACTTATCCTTGGCCGTGAAAAACAGGTTGCCGGGGATCTGTTTGAAGTCGGCCTTCACATATGTTTCGTCGTCCATGATGCAGCATTCAACTTTCGTCAGCATGTTGAGGTACAACTTCCTGGCACGGGTTTTGGCGGACTTGTTCTGCTTCTCGTCGCGATTAGGGGCCTTTTGTACCTTGAACGTTCGAAGCCCAGCCTTAGTTTTGGCCTTCTGGACAAAACTTCGGCTTAGGTGCAGCTTCTTAGCCACATCCCTAACGGAGGCGTTCGGATTTCGGTTGAAGGCCCCAACTACGCGGTTTTGATTTTTGGTGTTGTACGGAATACTTTTTCCTTCACTTCTGGGCTTCCGATCGGTGGTCAACCGTTCCTCGAACCGCTTAATCACTCGCGACACCGTGGAATTCGCGATTCCCAACGTTTTAGCGATGGAACGATGCGAGAGATCCTTGTTCTCGTGATGAATGCGCAAGATTTTATCACGCACGAGCTGTTCTTTCGACTCCATTTCTGCGAGTTTTGATCACAGGACTTTAAAACTTGCAGGATGTAAATAATGCACTATGAACTAAATCCACCCAAATTTTCATTAAATTCTACCCAACGGTTAAAAAGTTAGAGCAATTTCATAGTGTGGCAATTTCATCGTGGACACCCTTTAAGTGTAAGGAGTTTGATCACGTTTGGGTCAAATGTTTCATTGGAGATCAAGTTCATATTTTTGCGACAGTATATTTTCCTCCAGAATATGCAAAGCAAGATTCATACGAAATTTTTTTTTAAACTAGCTGAAAATATTATTTCGAAATGTGAGGCGGAAGCAAATGTTCACATATACGGAGATTTTAACCAACGCTCAGTGAATTTTATTGTTGATGACGACAACGAATCTTTGTTGATACCGATTATAGGAGAAAATGAAACACTTCGTACTCTGTTCGACAAAAGTGCAGAAATTGGACTCAACCAAATAAAT